AGCGGCGCGCGCCCTGAGCGCCCGCAGCTTGCGGCACGAGGCGGAGGGCGACTTCGACGTGGACGACCAGCGCGAGCTGGAGCGCGAGATCCTTCAGGTGAGCGAGATGATCCACGACATGGAGATGAAGGTCAACGTGCCCCTCTGGACGGTGCAGGCCCGGCAAACGGCGGGCGCCGAGCTCCTGGCCAGCGCCAGCGCCGGCGCCTCCTCGGTGGGCGCCGTGTCCGTCCAGGAGCGCACGGGGCCCTGCGACCCGAGCAAGGCCCTGGCCGCCACCGTTTTCAGCGCCGTGCTGCTGGCGGCTGTGGCCCTGGCCGTCTGCGTGGCGAAGCTGAGCTGACCGGCACACGACTTTTCCTGCCACTACCCCTCCCTCCCCGGAGACATCCCTCGGGAACGACGGCAATCGCCTGGACTCGGGATGGGAGTGGGATCTGGCACGTTTAAGGGAAGGGGTTCTAAAACCGTGTGTGTGTGTGTGTGTGTGTGTGTGTGTGTGTGTGTGTGTGTGTACACATGGTTTCCTCTTGCCGGCCCGGGAGGAGTTAATTTTGCGCGGGCAGCCAGGGCATTACCGCTAACGTATGCAGCAGCTTTATCCCCTATTAATAGAAAACCGTCCACAGTGACCTCAGATTCCCCCGAGTTAATGGGTGACCACGTGTGCTGCTGGGGTATGTTTACACGGATTCTCAGTTTGGTGCCCCCAACCCTACCAGCGATCCCCACTCTCCGCGTGGGGCAGTTTGAAAGGGGGATGAGGTGAAGTGAAGTCGGGGGAGAGGAGTTGTTTTGCTCTGTGTGGGTGGTGATTTTGTTTCCTGGACAATACTGTAAGAAGATGTAAGCAGGTTTTATTACCTTAATCCTTTGGGGCCTAAACTTAGGACAGTGTGCAAAGAGAAGTCTGTGCAAAGTGCTTTCACCATGGCGCACCATTGAGCTTCTTGGCAGGGTTTATCCATTAGTTCCGAAAAGCAGCTAGAAGAGGTTTGGGTTTGGGGTTTGGTAACCTCCCCCACAAGTGCTGACCCTACTTAGGAAACCAGAGAAGACACGTCGAACCCGCCCCCACGGGTTTGGATCCACTGCACCCACTTGCCTGTTGAAAAGGGGTCCCCTGGGTAAGCCTGGAAGGCGCACAAGCTTTGGGAATGGACATATGCTATTCAAACAGGCACTTTCTCCTTTGCCGGGGCTTATTTTTGTTCCAGAATTAGACCAGAGTTTTTTATCCTCCCTTGGGGGAGGGCTGCAGAATCCTCTTTGGAGCCCTTAATCCTATCTATCCCTTGGAATCTGCCTGCTGGCTAGCAGGAGAGCTGGCTTTGGAGGAAGCTACCCAGCTCTCTGACCCTCACACTGACCCCTGAGAGGGTAAACCTCACTGCCCACGCTGTTGGAGCTGATTAGCCCTGAGACTGGGTTAGAAGGCAACAGCTTCCACTCGGAAATTTCAGCAGCGTTTTAAAAACAAGATCATTGAGAAAGAAAAACCATATAACCATATGATGCCCTGTCAAAGCCAGTTTTTTATAGAGGACATTTGGCCACAAAATCATACGTGCCAATGAGTCAAACACAGTGGTCTTTACTTACAACCTTTAGTTAATAAATATACCTCTATTATTAAAATAGACCTTCTTGAAGGCAGGAGGTCGTAGCATAAACTACTGGAACCACGCTGTACATAACAGAGGTTGAATGACCCCTACTTCTTTTGCTCAGTAAATAAATAAGGTGGAAACCCCTGGGTCCCAGGCTGAGCAGAGCCACCACTTGCCGCCTGTAGTGCAGAGAGAACATAGTTGGGGAAATAAGACTGAGAAAACACATACATTTAACTCTCAAAAGGTAATTAGGAATAAAACCCAGAGACTTTGGCTGAAAACTGACAAGGATTTTTTTTTTTTCTTTTTTACCCTGAAAGTGGGAAAGAGGACTAGGAGGAGGGAAAGGACAGTTTCACAAAGGCAGCTTGGAGGGCCACGGGGTAGGGGCAGGTAGCAGGAGTGCAGCCTTGGCTTCAGCCCTGAGGGCCACCTTTCCAGCCCAGCTTCCTCCCCCTCCTCCTCAGCACACAGATTCCAGTACCTCATAGTGAAAATGGATGTGTGTGTGTGTGTGTGTGTGTGTGTGAGAGAGAGAGAGAGAGAGAGAGATAATGGTTTTAAAACACCCACAGGGTCTTAAGCCGATTAGAAGTTTTATGACCTTAACTAATAAAAGAAACACCTCCGGCCTCATCTGAATAGGGGCCACTCAAATTCTTTTGTACCTGCGCGCTCAGGGTAACTTCACAGATGACACAAAATTTTCCTAACTCCCTTCCCCAAAATCTCAGCTCTCCCAGACAAGAGGAGGCTGGGCATTTTGTGACCCAATGTTGGCAACTAACCTTTAATAGCACACCCTAAATATATTCTCCTGTTTCCAATACAGTGACTCTTCTGTTCTTATCAAGTTGTTTTGGTTCAGAACGATGACAAAAAGTTGTTCAGCAGAACCTACTGAAGAAAAAACCCATCCAATGTTGTGTAATCCATAGAGAGCACTTGGGACAAATGTCTTGTCACCCTTTCCACCCAGTTGGCAAATCCTTGGGTATTTAATTATATGTGCAATCAGATGTGTACCTAATTCCAAGAGTCCTCTGCTCACCGAAATTAGGTATAAAATGTTGCACCCACACACACACAAAAAAGCTGAATTACAATGAACATATTTATCCTGTGGACCTGTTAACCTGAACAACTCTGTGTTTGAAAGTTTTAAGCATTAGGAATATTCGGTACTATTTGGAATTCTAACATTGCCTACTAGAACTTTCGCTATGTGATGCACGCAGAATCACTTTCTGCTTGAGCAATAAAGCTGCTGTCACTATGTCTGCTCTCATTTCTATGTATATAATTAAAGACATTGCTTTCTGATAGAAGCCTGATTCTATATAGGTGTTTGATATCAAATCATTAGTTTTCTAAAAACACTTGGTATGATTTTATACCATGATACCATGATTTTAGAGAAAAAATTCAAAATGTTTAACATAGGGTATATATGATGAGGTCAACGTTAGAGTCCATGGCAAAAAAACCCATCTAATTTCCCAAATTAAAGATACAACTTAAAGGATAGATCTTTATATCCAAAGTTAAATGCTATGATACGTACCTGTAAAGAGAAAATATCCCTGACTTCTCTTCTGGGAAAAACAGTACTGTTTTATCTGATTTGGAGAAGACAAGCAATTGGAATGTCAAAGCACTTATGGAAACTTTAAACTATTGCTAGTAGTGGAAAAAACCAAAACACTGATGTTTGTAGAAGAGAAAAAAAATGCCTGACAAATTCATTTTTTTGTGTGCTCAAAGAACTTAATGCTTTTAAATGCTGCAAGGGAAAGATTTTTGGTAAGGAAAATTAGAGCATAACCTGCGTGATTTACTTAAGGTTTACAGTAAACTACATAAGACATGTGTAATGTCAAATGACAAGTAGTTTTGGTTAAAGAGCGTTTTGGTTTGCCTGAGGATCCTGATGATGCTGCATCTTCTGTTTCAACCTGCACATTGATACATTTTTAGCTACTCTGTTGCTTTTCAGATATAGCTCTCCCTTCTGTAATGAATACTTGTTAAGGGTGTGAGCCCTGACATGTGAGCCTGTATGTCAGCCTGAGAAGTAAAGAACTTGAGACTCTCCTCTGTCTTCCTTTGGGGAATGCCTCCTCCCTCAAGGCCAGATCAGCTATGATGGACAGGGCCTCTGCCTCTTTTTCCAAGTACCTCAGAGAAGTCATTGACCTCCCTGTGCCTGGGTTCCCTCCATGGTGAAATGGGGGGAGCCCTGACCGATGGACTAAAGGTCCCTTCCAGAGTTTAAAACATTTAACAGAATGCAGTTAAACGAGAAAGGATTATTCCAGTTTGGGGGTTTTTGGTTGTTACTGTTAGTTTGGGTACATATGGAAATGAAATGTTACAGTTTGGTGGTTATTATCTAAAATTCCATATAAAGTTAAAAAAAATCAGAATGAGGGGCGCCTGGGTGGCTCAGTTGGTTAAGCAACTG